TTTACTACAACACCTATTATTATTATTATCAATATTATTATTTATTTATTCTTACTTTTATATTTATTTATTTACTATCTTTAATTTTAATTTGGCCCAACTAGTATTATAATTTCATATTTCTATTAATTTAGCTCCAAATAATAATTCCTAATTAATCCCACATTTGATAATCCAATGCCAAATTAGATTTTATATTTATTATTATTTATTTAATAATATATTATCACATACAATCATAATACTAGTATAAAATTTAAGGGACAATTTGAATTTTCGAGTTGTTACACTTTTGGGTAAAAAAACTGTATTTTTTGACTAAAAAAACTAAAAAAACAAAAAATTGCTTTTTTTAACTTGTTGCCAAAATGCTTCTGAGGTCTCGTTTAGGAACAAGCTAATTTAGTAACTTTTTGACTATTTGGCTAAAATATGAGCTAAAAAAAACTAGTATGTTTGGGATGACTTTTTGACTTTTTACGAAAAGATGTGCAAAAAGTAGAGAGAAAAGATAATATTTGACTTTTTGATATAGGTTGTTGACTTTTTAACTTTTTTAATAACTTTTTGACTTTTTGACTAAACCAACCTGTTGTCAAACGAGGCCTGAGTTTGTAGTTTGAGAGAGAAGAGTCTGCGGACAGTTTGAGAGCCGTTTGTATGTTTTAAAAAAAATTTAAAAATATGTTTGGTTACAAACTTTCACAAAAAAAATTTAAAATTATTTGTCTTTCTATTACACATCAATCAATTTCTCATCTCTCATTTTTAATCATTTTTTCTCTCATACATATTTACTCAACTACAACAAAATATCAAATCATCTCAAACTTTCAAATTCCAAAACTATTTTCAAAAGGGTAAATTACAAACATCCCTTGAGGTTTTATTAAAATACAAATTACCCCACGTGGTTCTAGAAATTTCATTTCACCCTTGAGATTTTTAATTTCATAACAAATTACTTATTTTATTAATAAATCATCAAGTCAATTAACAATTTTTAATGATGTTAAAAATATGTTTCAATTAATAATTTAGATAATTTTATTCTTATATAGGAGAACAATTATGAATTTTATTTTTTTAGTTAATTCTGTTAAATAAAAAATTATAACAAGGGGATATTTATAATTTTCAAACCACAAGAGGCAATATGTAATTTAAGCAAATCTCAGAGAGTGTATTCGTAATTTACTCTTTTCAAAATATACAATCAAACAAATCAAAAAAATTTCTAAACTTGCTTTTCATTTTTTTTTTTTAAAATTTATCTTAAAATACAAACCTAACAGTCTGAAATGGGCTTTGGTAGAGTGTGAAACACAATCACTTTTGGGGCAACTGTAGCAAACTTTCCTCCAAACCCATCCAGCTCATTCGGGCTATTCGGGGCTGTTATTCAGTTGACAGAGCGGAAATGTAACCATAATAGGCATTATTTATATCAATCGACAATGCTACGTAACTTAAATTTTGTGGTTCAAAAGTGACTTAAATGGCCAAAACGACGTCATTTTGAGTACAGAATAACGTTTTGGCCATTTGAGTCACTTTTGAGCCACAAAATTTGAGCTACAAGACATTTTCTTATATCAATAATGCTACATAACTCGAATTTGAGTTTGTCTGAATGATTCGGGTTTTAGATTATCAGGTTTTCGGTCGGTCATTTGGCAAAAATGTGATAGTCGCAGTCGATAAAGGTGACAATCTCGATAAACAAGTGTTACACTAGACGGTCGACCGACATGCACAAATTCAAATAATTCAAGTAAACTCAAATTCAAATAACCAAATGTTTTTCTACTTGTATACAATTTTAGTATTTTGCAGGGTTAAACAGATAATTAATTCATAATCATTATTTTAATTATGATTCTTTTTAACTCTACCCCTCCCTAAAAAAAAACGGATCTAGTGTCACTGTTGTGCGTGAAGCACAACGGTAACTGTTGTGTAATTCGTGAGGCTTATTTTGGGTCCTATTTTGATAATTCAAACCGTTAAAATTTTAGAAAACATCGAGAACAATATACCTGTAAAAAATCAAATTGATCAGATATCAATAACTTGTTCATCAAATCACATCTTTATATTAAAAAAATGAATATATATATATGTATCAAATTAAATACAAATGTTATTTGATAAAGAGGTTATTAATATCCGATTAACTTGATTTTTTATAGGTATATTGTTCTTAATATTTTTTAAAATTTTAACGATTTGAATTATCAAAATAAAATCCGAAATGAGTCCCACGGATCTCACAACAGTCACTGCTGTAGTAGTGACACTGGAATCCAAAAAAACTCTGCGTAATAATGGATGATGTTATTCTCACTCACTTTTTAACTAATACTTTGTTTGAAAATTGGCTATTTTAATTAAATTTTTAATTTTTTATGCAAAAAAAGTGTCAAAAAATAGAAAAGGTGATGTGATAATTTATAGTGACTTTTTAATTAAATACACAATTATCCTTTGGTTTTTGTTAGACAAATTTACAATAATGCTCTGTTTGTTTCAACTCAAAATACTTTCTAACTAAAAAAGTTTTTTACAAAATATATATATATATATATATATTGTCTTTAAAATTAATATATTAGTACTGGTGTTAGTGGTGCAGGTGAGGGTGGTAATGGAAGAGGAGGTGATGGTGATTGTGGAAGTATGTAATATTGACAAGATTTTAGTTTAAAAAATATTTTTACATTTGAAAATTAAAAAATATTTTTTACCTAAATAAATTTGTTTTCCTTTATCTCAAATGACAAAAAGCACAAAATATTTCTTAAAAAATATTATCTACCCAAAAAAACAGAGCGTAAAACTTTTTACATTTTGGCAACTACTTTAACTGACCTAAACTATAGATCTCTTTTTTTCATCTCTTAAGAGAGGCAATTTTATTTTTTGCAATAAAGTTACATAAAATAAGAACAAAATATAAAATAAATTTGGTGAAAAAGAGAGTAAGAAGAGTGCCACTCTTAATAATTTCCTAGTAAAAAAAAGGCAATGAATTATAATACTTAGGACAACACGAAAAAGAAAGTAGAAAAGGTTTGAGACCATTTTGAGGGCTTATTGTTATTGATATGCCAAGACACAAAATTCAACATGCTTGCATTCATGATACATGGGCATTAATTCCTATATAAATAGTCATAATGTCAGCCAAATCATTGCTCATTCAATGAGGAATTAAAACATGAGGAATGGGCATCTCATTGCTAGGAATCTCCATCCATCAAGTAGACTTATTTAAGAGAAAAATATGTTCTAGTATGGAAAATGTTTGGTAGCTCAAAAATTTGTAGTTTAAATAGCTTAAATCTGTCAAAACGACGTAATTTTACATTCAAAACGATGTCGTTTTGAGTGATTTTGACCTACCTAATATTGTTGTTCTAGTATTTAGCACAACAAATTGAAAACTAACTTATTTGGGTAAAAATTTTCTTTCAATTTTGCATAGTAAAAAATATTTTTCAAATTAAAATCTTAACAATACCATCATACTATTACCGTCACCACCACTACCACTACCCCACCACCACCATTAATACAATACTAATTTCAACTTGCAAAACGTTTTGTACAAACTTTTTGTTTTTTCTAGAAAAAAATTTCCATGATAGTACTTGGATTATGCAATATTTATTTCAATCCCCCACCACCACCATTAATACAATACTGATTTCAACGTGCAAAACGTTTTGTACAAACTTTTTTTTCCTAGAAAAAAATTTCCACGACAGTAATTGGATTATGCAATATTTATTTCAATCCTTAGTTGTAATGTTGTATTGTGATGATGTACTCATTCTTGCCCTTTCCTTAATATTATGATGCATCTTATGTGTCAAAAAAAAAAAAAAAACAAAGCAACAGCAACCATTGGAGAGACATTATCATAAGCATCAATGACTACCAGAAGTGCTACAGACCCCCACGAACCTATGAGAAAGAGGGGGGAAAAAAAATACATAATGAGTAATCACCAATTAATTGCCAGTCATGAGAGTAACCCATTTTGAGGGTATCAAGCATTTTTCAAAAACTAATAACCGTACCCTGTATGAGAAGCAAAAGGATGCAATGTAGGCTATCTCATCCTGTGTAATGCTTGCAGCTTTGACGAATAGACCGTTGTGCCTGGAAAAGCACTTCAACATATTTACTTCTTTTGATCATCAAATAAGGAAAAAAAAAAAAAAAACTTGTGTATGGCCGTGGGTTCTAGGTAAAATTTTGCATCAACTGAATAAAAATTCTAACTCCGCCGTGAACAAAATCGATGCTCAACAAATCAATATTAAAGCTCACTTTGACCCTAACAAGAAGATGCGGTTGTTCTTCTAAAAAAATTCCTAAATTGTGATGAATGATCATGATCTTAACTGGAATGTAGATATGCAAAGCAGATACAAAACACTCGTGACATTGGTCCAATGTAACAGAAGGATAAGGATACCAATGAGGCTCATATATTACCCGCTGAAGGTCTCATAGTAAAGGTACTAGTTACAAAATTAAAATAGAATTTCAGAAAACAGCATATCACAAAATTCCAATATATCACAAAATGGGCATGAGAAACAGTAAATTTGCAAGATACGATGATGGCTAGTGACATCAAAATAATGTACAAGGCGTATAGAATTCAAAGCCCAAACCTATTCCATATGACACCAAAACATATAGCAAACACAGACCCATAGATTCTGCAAGTCACATGAGGAAAACTCCACATTAGAAATTGTGTTTGTTGCACCAAAAAAAGAAAAAAAAAAAAAGAGAAAACCATAAAGGAGTAAATACAAATAGAAGAAAATCCAACTCGCAAGATAGATCAAAATTAATGAAAGCCAAAATTTGACACTGGATGTGCCAGTGGTCATCAACATATGATGTGCTCAACAACCTGCCGAGACAAACTGAAAAAAGCACATCAGACTTAAAAGAAGAAAATAAGCAGAACCAAGATATATCCAAAACAAGACCATATTAGTTTGTCATATAAGTAAAAAAATACCAATATTAGATAATTAATTGCACATACCAATGCTCATCAACTAACGTGTGGCGTGGATAACTTCCACTCCCTAGATAAAGGGAGCATTTATAACCCAGGCTTCAGACAGGTTTGGAATGAACATATCATCCAGGCCTCACAATGCAAAAAAAAGTCACCATTGACAGAAAAAATAAATTAAAGACAAAAAAGACAAAGAAAATGGGACATTAAAATTGTATCTAATGAATCATTACAGCACAAAACCGACAGAAACCATGTAGTCAATAAAGTTCAAACACAACCAGCACTTGAAAATTGCAAGTAAGAAGATGCTTTCCAGGTGGACCATGATTGGCACCAGATGTAGTCCATATGACCTGCAGAAAGGAGTAACACATAGCTTCTCCATTACAGTTATAGAAAATCTGAAATTCGGTAAAAAGTCTCTGCAATTGTGACAACAGCACAGCAAGATAAAAGATGTGAGTCTGAAACTTCCAACAAGTTGAAGTCATAGCAACATGTAACAAAACAGGCTGACAAGAGCTCCAAGAAAACCTCATGCCTGCCAAAGAGTATGATCATGGTTAACAAATCAGATAAATCACAAACACAGCTATTACAGTGGGGAAAAGGTGGAAACTATTTATAGTAGTGATGCAAAGGTCCAGGAAGCTTTCGTGAGTCTCCATGTAATTGAATTATGTTAAGCTCGTGCTTGTTAGAATCGTACGATGATTCGATTCATACGATTCGATACAAGTTTCAATAAAAACGATTCAAATAGTTCTATTGAATCGGAAATTGAGTGGATCGTACGATTCATTGCAATTCATTACGATTCACATGATTCACTACGATTCAATTTTATTTCTATTTTTGTTTACATAATGACATGAAACAACACCGCTTTCACCAAACTTTGAAGGTATATAAAAGAGATTAATTAGTTGCATTGATATACATGATTTTATATGTATATACATATATATAATTTAGTCATATTAATAATTTATTTTATTTTAAACATTGTATGTACTTTGTTATGTATATAAATATATAGAATTATATATTACATTAAATAAGCTGAATCTTACAATTCACGATTTGATACGACTCATTATTTTAGCAAAACGATTCAAGATTCGATCCACGATTTGAACTTACCAAAAACTGCTAGGATAAAAAGAAGGTTTAAAACCTTATAAACTTTACCAGTGTTTAGATGCCGTTAATTCTGAAGACTCCTCTTAAGCAAAATGAACATATTAATTTCAAGGAACACTGCCCTCCCCACCAAAAAAATATGGAAACTAACAACCAAAATTTGGTTGCCTACGGTTAAAATCTTCATTAAGGTAGCTATTTCCCAGTTTTGGTCAAAAAAAGATTGATCAAAATTAAAGCAATGGTATTGCTGTTAAAAAAGGAAAAAAGAAAAAGAGTAAAACACCAGCTTGATCCATGCAAATACTAATAAGAAGATATGTAATTGAACTGTATATTATTGATCCAAATAAGACTACATCATTGCAGTTTTTCTCTCCAATCCCTTTCCTTGCAACTTGATCAGCAGTCTTTAAAGAAATACATTTTCATGTGTACAGGTTTGTTTGTCCCACCTCTGAACTTTAGGTGATACCGGACACTCTATATAAAATACAAACTAATCTACTAAATACAGCTCCTGTGCATATTCCTAGGTCACATTAACAATGACATTACAAAGTTGCAGTTAATGGTTTTCCTTTCCAGAAAATGGATCTATCAGGTTTGAAAGTGATAATTTTATAATTTGAAATTTTGACCAAACCAATGAAGAACAATGTTGACTATTGAGAGCACTTACTTATTAACATGAAAACATCGTAGTCACTGGAACAGTGTTATTTCATCTCGGCCATGAACTTCTCATACTCAGGATCCACACCATAACTTGCTTGCTGACTTTGTTCTGCCGATGAAATGGATGGTGGAGCAGGTGGCTTAGAAGCCCACGATTCACTTGCAAAGTTCTGTTGATCTGCTGTTGAATGAGACCCAGGTGGAGGAGGAGGAGCTACAGCATAATAAGAAGGATAACCTAAGGAAGATGGATGGTATGTAGGTTGAGAGTTTGGTGGCATCCCCATCATTGAATTTCCATAGATATTATTAGCTCCAGACTGTGCAGAGGCTACAGACGCATTACTCTGAGATTGCACCCCAGTGATGTAGTTTTGTTGGGCTTCACTTGAAGGCATGCTCTGAGACACAGAACCAGAGATAGCAGCTTGAGGTGGTTGGGGATATGGTATGTTGTAAGGGGGCATAGGTTGACCTTGGACTGGGTTGTACATATTTGATCCAGGAACAGGAGGGGTGTAAGGAGCATAAGGCGGAGGAGGAGGAGCCTGTGGGCCCCAAGGAACAGGGGGACCCATGTAGCTGCCAGGTGGCATACTCCCAAGAGAGCCACCTGATGTATTTTGTTGAGATGGGTATCCACCAACTGCCTGATTGGGAGGAAGGTAAGTAGACATTGGTGGAGCAGGAGGTCCAGGGGGTACAACGGGTTGGGGCGGCTTACCTGCAACTCTTACTGCTATTACTCTCCCATCTAGGCGATAACCATTCATACTACTAGTGGCTTGATTTGCCTGATTGACATCAGAATACTTTACAAAACCATAACCTTTGCTCAATCCAGTCACCCGATCCTTAATAACCTTAGCCATTGCTATTTCACCAAAAGGTGAAAACAATCTGATCAGAGCATCATCATCAAGAGTCGGTGGCAAGTACCCAATATACAAGTTCGTATCATCTATTTCCTTTCCAACCTTAGTTAAATTGCTGCCCAGTCCCGGATGTGACGAGTTCCCAGTACTTCCAGCACCGCCACTGCTGGCCCAAGGTGGGTTGCTTCCTGAACTGTTGGAACCCATAATAGCCAATGCTGGGTTTTGCTTGGTAAGAGATTCAGGGCCTGTCCCACCTAATTCTGCCAAGAAATTCTGATACTCATCATCCATTTTCTTTCCCACAGTCCCTTTCACAGGGCAATCAATAGTTGGGTGCCCACCATCCCCACAAATCTTACACAAAACTTCACTCTTAAAAGTTGACATACGAGATGGACAAGCATACTGCCTATGACCAGGCTCACCACACAACCTACAATACTCATCTTCCCTTATCGTACCATTCAAAGCAGCAAGTTCCCGAAGCTGCTGCCTCTTATGCTCGTTCAATCCTTCATCTACAGGATGCAAAAGCATCTCTACCATTCCCGCTGCAGCATCAAGTGACTCCTGCGTCTCAGCCTCAACCAAAACATGCAAGTCTTCATTCTCCGCAGGATCAAACTTCAAATCCCGCTTTTGTCCCAACCTACCTTCCTTAATTGACCCTTTACCCCGAATTACAATTTTCGCACCAGTCTCTTTCTCCATCCTCTTCTGTGTATTCCCTCTCGGTCCAATTATAAGACCGATAAAATTATAACCCGGGTATTCTTTCATTGGTATATATAGCTTCTTCTGAAGCTTCGGTGGCCTATAATCTGCAGGCGGCTTGAACGCAGGGTTTCGTTTTATAATTTGCGAAATTATCTCTTGTCTCTCTCTATTAAGCCTTTCGCGAGCTCTATACTCTCTAGTGTTTATTCGAATTCCTATGTTATCATATATAGGTTCCGGAGAAGGCGATCTAGCGCCTTCGGGACGATCATCTAATGGCAAACCCGATTGCAACATTCGACTAATTTCAAGAAGCCTAGCATTCAAAGCTTGAATTTCAGGGTCAATATCCATACCTCCAGCGAAATCCTTCATGAAATCCGGCAACTGAAACACCGGCTTCGGCTCATCATCAGCCCACCTCGACTTCCTCTTCTTCGCCTCCCCATTCTGAACCTCACCGTCAGCCGGAGGGTCCCACCGACTCCGGCGGCGGCGGCGGCGATTCGTCTCCTCCTCGCCTCCCGAACCGTCCCTGTCCGTACTACTACCATTCTCAGACAACAATTGCCTCTGAAGCTCTTGCTTCTGGCTTTGGTCTTCGGGCAATGGATTCGGAATCGGCAAATCGGGTTCGGAGGGGGGAATCGGGATCGGATCGTCTGAAGATGCTAGGGTTTGAAAATTCGGGGGAGCTAGGGTTTCGGGAGGGGGTTGAGGAGGAGGGTTTGGATCGGAGGATGGTGGAGGCGGAGGAGGATAAGCTAGGGTTTCTGAGGAGGAGAAGGAGAGAGGATGAGGAGGTTCGGGAGGTAGGGTTTCGGAGAGAAGAGGAGGAGGGTTTGGATGCAGTGAATCCATGGATGTTTGGTTTAGTTTTCAAGAACAGAGAGGTAATCAGGAAAAAGAAGGAAGAGAGCAGAGAGTTTTTTTACACTCTTTCTATTATATCGGGGTAGCTTCTATCTTTGCACGCTATTGATCTTCATCTTCTCAACTCGCATTCTTATCTTTATATTATTATTTTTTTTCTCAAATTATTACTATTATGTTTTCCAAATTTATTTCGTTTTGTGCTTTTAGTTTTTTTATGTAATATTTTTAGAATGTTTTTTTTAATTCAATAAAAAAAAGAAACAAAAATATATTGAATTTTGGGTAATGAAAGAAAAATGATATCAATATAAAATAATTATAAAATGATGAAAATAAAAGACTTATTTACACAATTTAATACATAAATTACTTGGACTTCAATCATTTTGTAATTACTAATATCAGTTTTTTTTTGTAATTGTCCCTTGAATTTTTGTATATTTTTATTTAGTACATTTTTAAAATATTTTTATTTTGGGAGACTTATTTATAAATCATTTTTCAGACATTTATGGTAGGTTAAGTCTTGTGTAATTTTTTTTAAAGTCTCTAGTTCTATTTAGATATGAATGTATTCCACAAGATCCTACGTAAACGTAACGTAACGTGATACCTACATAAACGTAACGTAACGTGACACTTACATAAACGTAACGTAACGTGTCGCGTTACGTTTCGCAAACTTAATGAGTTTTTATTTTTTTAAATTGAATGTGAAAACGTTGCTGGTTTATGTTAGTGTCACGGTACGTTTCATATAAATATGATCTATGGCAACATTCAATTTCCTAATTGAATGTTACCATAGGTGTGTCACGTTACGTTTATGTAGGTGTCACGTTACGTTACTTTTATGTAGGTGTTACATTACGTAACGTTTATGTAAATATGATCTATGGTAACATGCAATTTATAAAGGAAATTACATGTTACCATAGATCATAGGTGTCACATTACGTTTATGTAGGTGTCACGTTACGTTTATGTAGGTGTCACGTTACGTTACGTTTATATAGATATGATCTATGGTAGTATTCAATTTTCTATATATGGTTTTACTATTATTTATGACATTAACAACTAATATTGAGGGTAAATGTGCTAACAAACTTCCCACAGGACTTATGAGAACATAAATTTTTTAGTAGGACTATATGAATTATAGGTCTCCCTAATAAGACTTATAAATAGTTTTTTCTTTTACTTTTTAGGTGCATCTAAAAATTAAAGAAATTAATTAAAATGTTTACTAAAAATACAAAAATAAAAAACTCAGATTTTGCATTTGAAAATTTCAAACCAAATAGACTTATCTCAATTCAAATCACTTTTTTAAAATTACTACTATGTCATTCAAATAAATTATCACTGAGGATAAAAATACACCCTTTTTCACTACTACCAACCATAACCTCCTCCTAATCCCACTCCCGTGATCTCCTTCTTCAGCTTTCTATATAACTATCAATCCCTCCTCAACTCCTACCATAGTAAAACTTCCAGATCTCCTAATCCCACCACCGTGATCTCCTTCTTCAGCTTTCTATATAACTATCAATCCCTCCTCAACTCCTACCATAGCAAAACTTCCAGATCTAAGAGAAAGTAGTAGTGTGAGGAGTGACAGATAGACACAGTTGAGAGATGTTTTGGGAACTTTCTAAAAAAATTAGTTTTTTAAACTTTTTTAATACAAAAAAGTCAAAAAGTCATACAAAAAATAAAAAAAAAATTAATTTTTTATCAACTCCTCAAAACACCACTAAAAAGTAGGAGGGTAAAAATAACCTGCGGCCTGTGGCAACCCGGGTTGGGCTTGACCCATTTAGGCCCAGGACCAGGCCCGAGCTCGGCCCAAAGCCCGACCTGCCCGAAGGCCATTGTCTTTTTTAGTAAAAAATAATAAAATTTTAGTAGAAAAAATTTAAAAAATAAAAAAAATAATCAAACCTGCCCAAGCCAGAAGTCCGAACACCTCTAGGCTTGGGTTTAATTTTTTAGTTTATGGACTAGTCCAGTCTGATCTGAATTTTAATAGAATCTTGCAAGGCCTGACATGACTCGAACCGGGCTGGACTAGGCCGGCCAGGCCACGCCATATTTACACCCCTACTAAAGAGTACACGTTAGGAAAGGAAGAGGTGGTAGAAGAGGAGTGATGACAGGGGAAGTGGCAAATGTGAAGGCGATGGAAAGATGATGGAGCTAGAGATGGCAAGTGTAGTGGAGGACAGATGTGACAGAAAGGGAACAATGAAAGGGGAAGGAAAAATGTAGCAAATGAAAGGAATGGGAAGGAAGAGACGAGAAAAGAAGAGACTTGCGTGTAGACGGCTTTGGGGTGTTTTGGGAAGAAAAAAAAAGAGTTAGGCCTTGTTTGGTTTGTATTTGAAAAATATGTTTTGAGATAAAAAGTACGAAAATTTGTTTAATTTGATTTTTTTTCAAAAAATGATTTAAAAAATTATTTTGAGAGAGAATTTTGAAAAAAATGATTGATTTAATGTGTATAAGAGAGAGATTTGTTTAAAAAATTTGTAAACCAAACAAGTTTTGAAATTTTTTTTTAAGAAAATTTGTTTAGTTTGATTACTTTTGAAAACTTATTTATAAAGAATTTTTTTCAAAATTTTTTGAAAAACACAAACTAAACAAGGCCTTAATTTTTAATTTTTTACTCATTTTGAATCACATCATTTTTTATATTTTTTATTCAGAAAAAAAACAATTAAAAAAATTAAAAAATCAACTTTTACCAACTTTTCAAAACACTATTTTGTTGCCAATGAAGGCGGTGACAGTGAGTTAGAGTTAAGGTTGGAAGGTTGACCGTGAAAACCTCATAGAATAGAGATAAATAATGAAAGAAAATGTGGTGCAAGCTCACTTATTTCAAAAAGGAAAACACAAGTTTTTCTTATTTTTTTATTTTAAATTTTTTTACAAATAATTTGTATTAAAAATCAAGTTTTTATTAAATAAAATAATGATACTTCTAAAAAATTGACAATCTTATAACAACTTAGGCCTCCTTTGTGAGGTCATTTGGTAACTTTTTCAATTTTTAATTTACAACAAATAAAAAACGATATATAAAAATATTTTGAAAATAAATAAACAATAACCTAACCATAAAAGCCAAATGAAATCTCATGTTGCAAAAAAAATTCACCGCTTAATTACAAGATAACTCGATGGCTGTAAAACATGAAAGAAGATAATCTTTTGATTCCTCACCTCTCAATCTGTTTGTTTACTTTTTTTTACACCATATTCACACTCTTTGAGTCTTTGTAATAGCCTTCCTCAGTACGTTCAATACAACAATCGCAAGCAACACTGTTACAACCTTCTTTGAAGCTAGCATCCTGAGATTCACCCTCAAACCATGCTTTTTCATGAACTCAATTGCTGCACAACATGATGTGATAAACCAAGTACCAACAGAACACAACAGTACTTTCATGGTCTCTGTGGGTCCACACACATTGCTAAGATCACCTGAAACCTCCACATAGGACAAAGCAGGACTGTTCTCACCCTGGTTTAGCCCAAGATTTTCATTCAGCCAGCCTGACAAACTGACAAGCAGCTTTGCAAGCCAAGCAACCTCATCGTTGGAGATGGGCCGCTTCATCCAGTCACCCTTGAACTCTATATCAGCTGACCGGCCTTTGCCAACTCGTCTAGGCTTGAAAATATCATTTCGTGATTCTTGACGTTGTCTCCCTTCAAGTGGGGTTGCTACTGACTTGATGATAGGGCCGCCATATAAGCAGCCTATCCGGTTTTTCAGAGAATCTAAGCACTGAAGGTTGACTGCAAGATTATCACCAGAAACAGCTTGCAATTCAGACTCTGCACGCAAGACGAAGAGCTGCAAGAGCAAGAATGATCTCACTAAGTAACTATGGTGTTCACATCATGTAAATTCTTGCAGATTTTCAAATCCATGAAAAGAAAAAAGACAAATAAATAACCTGAAGCAGCTGCTGTCCACCATCATCACCATCACTAAAAAGTCGTAAATCTTTATTCCAGTTTGCGTGCAAAAATGATCCATCAGCATCACTCTCACATAAGCCATCCTCCCAATCCTTAAACAAGCACAAATTATTAAAATAAACACACACATAAGCAACAACCAAAAGTCTGCCAACAACTGTTCTCTGTAATAAGATGGATGAATACCATAGACAGCAATTCTTTGAATACAATTTTCTTTAACATTTGGTGATCTAGCTTTTAATATAATTAATCTTTATGTGCTTCAGTATAATTATAAGTTATTATAAGAAAAAAAGAGATGTCAAATTACCTGCAGTTGTTCACGTATTGTTGGAACAAATCTGTACAAACTATTAAGCATTGACTTTGATGATGTAGCCGGTTTCGAATGAAATACAGTGTCCACAATCTTTATAAGGTCAATCAGCTCCCCAGAAGATGTTAATATGTTAATAACCTGCAAAGACAAAAAGACAAAACAAGCATAAATAAGAAAAAGTAAAATAAAAGATATTTAGAGTGAAGTTATACAAATAGCTCACGTTAGTTGAATTGTTAGAAACTCCATGCTCTCAATTGGACATGACTACTAATATATTATGTCACGTCTGAGAGCAAGCCAATTCTTTGTAGATTGCTACTAGATTTGCTTTTAGTAAATGTATTTACAATGTTACCATCTTGATTTCTTAACATGTACACACGCTAAAGAGGAGATGTGTTGAGATCTAAGCAAAGGTTGGTTTCTTTTACATACATGTAGGGATCATTAATTGGTCTTATGGTACAGCTCAGTGTGTAAAGCATGAGAACACAACTCAACTCTAGGGCAGCCACCTCCGCACATGGTCCAACCTCCCAGCTCTGTTGATTGACTAGGGACTGGTACTGGCAAATGGTATTTTTCTTGCAAATATATGTAAAATGACTTTTAAATAAAGTATGTAAATCTCTCATTCTAGAAAAAAATTTCATATTGAATTGAAGCCAGTGTTTGACGAATAACTGAACCAAACCTCAAACTACATCAATAAATGGCATTTTGAATTATGTATAACCATATTCTACTAGTAACTCTTCTAATGCTTTGATACTGCCCTACTACCCTTGCATATACTTTTGGCTGCACGTGTATGCGAAAGTGGGAAGTTTTGTAAAACTAGTTAGATAGCCCTTTAGCAACTGACAAATTCACAACCCAGTGGTGCACCAATAGACTCAATTTTCTAGGGAATTTAAGTCCATAATTGGCAGATTGGTTTCAATCCAAGCAATTATAAGGTTTCAGATTCAGGTTTCCTGATAATATGTCCAACCATGTTTTGCTTCCACCATCCATCATGCCATTTACAGCTATTTCCATTTATACAAACAATGGGAAAAAATTTCCCAAACCTCGGCAGTCCAGTTAAAGGTAATATTTTTTATGACTAATAATACAAGCATAACCTATATATAAATCTAATCCCTCTGATAGAAAACCAGTCACTTCAACTAGTCCTATATATTTAAGCTTCCAAAAGTTCCTCCTACCCATTCTTCAAATCAACTACTTGCAAGAACTTTTTCAACTCTATTATCAAATAATCACAATTTGCATTCTAGACACCAACTAATTATCACCACTATTGGTTTTAGGCAGTCTGTTATTATCAGAAGACTATGCAAACATGTGAATTCAAGTTCAATTAATTATACATACCAAGTTCTGTGTTCCAATCTCTTGAACTACTCTGTTATTCCACAACATGGATACCAATGAACCGCCCTTATCCTCATGATACCTTCCATAATGGAAGTCATGATTAGACTGAATTGGGAATTTACCACCCACCAGCTTATTCAGCAAGAAATAAAGCGGGTAACAGTCTTTGCACTTTTTAACAGCTGCAATATATCATACATGAGACTACTAGTCTGAATTCGTTACCCACAATCTTCTAAGTTTTGAGCCAAAATTCTCAGTTCAAAAGTCCAAGATAAAGGCCCCGCAAAAAAATTTAAGCATATATTCTCTATTCCCTTCATAAAGCAACATTAATATATGCATAGTGATTCAAATCATAACAATATGTAATTAAAAGAATTGCTAGTGAGAAACAAACCTTTGATACCATTTGCACGATTACTTCTGGATCTGTGTGAAGGAACTTGTGTGCGAATCCAAAAAAATGCATAACCAAGGAACTGTAGAACAGATAATTGGACAATACAAAGGCCTGCCATGAAGATGAATATTGGGGATTCACCTTTGTCGTATTTTTAGCTAATGTACCAACATCTGCCTCTAGCTCCTTAAAATCTTCCAAGCTGATTGTCCAAGGCTCCATATAACTAATCCAAACAGAGAACACCTGAGATGCATTCTTGATAGAAGTCTCCACAGGGCAAAACAAAAAAGTCCTCAATATGAACCGGTACAATGGCCTCTGAATCCATGAGTTCCAGCAACCAATAGAATCCACACCAGAAGTTGCTGACATAGCATTCCTCGACTTGAAAACATCAGAAGATCCCAATACCCTCCACCTAGGACTCTCACTACATTCAACCTGATCAGACACTTCAGTAAGCGCAACTGAACTCAAATTCAGATACTTAACAAACAAATTGACTACCTCTCCCAACCCAGAAGTGGGCGGAGTCTCGCCAAGAACCGAACGAAAAGGAAACGACCCTCCGAACGATTTGCATACATTCACAGGTACGGGTGAGAAATCGTTATCGACTAACCAAAAGTGTTTCAGGGCATTAACAATGAACTCGGCTTGATCGACAACAGAATTATCATAGCTCGAATTGTAATGTAGAAGCGAGCTACGATAAGGTTGGTGTGTATTAACAGAAATTGGCACAAATGCACGAAGATAAGAATAAAGAAGGCGTAAATACAAACCACACTCAACTTTCTGCTCTGAGCCACCACGCTTATTGGTCGATAATCCAGGAAATGAAGAAGCCCAATTCTCCAATCGAAACTTTCGACTCCTCCGAACCCTCACGGTATCAGAATTCTCATTATTTCCTCTGCATACAGGGTAATAAGCAAACCAGAAAAAGTAATACTCAAACACATTCAATTGAACTTGAAACGAACCCTTAATTGAATCTTCCTTGATCCTACCTTTAAACAAGGGACAGAAATCGGCCAAAACCCGGCAATCTCGCTCGCTCTGAAGCAAAAACCTAACCCACTCAGGCAATCGCTCGATCGGAAACACGTACTTCATCAACGAAAGACGATCGACGGCCGAAATCGAAGACATCAAGACACCAATCGGGGAGAGGAGGTTGAAAACCCTAGAAGCGAGCTCAGAATCGACCGAGTCGACCCAGGCGGTGGGGGACTGGGGAGGCCGGTGAGGTGGCGACTCGGCGAAGCCGAAGATTTTGCAAATTAGGGTTGGGAAAGTGATGGAGAAGAACCAGCGAGTCTGGTCCGGGGTGTGTTTGTGGAGAAACGACTCGATTGCGCCGCACACGGCGGCGATCTGCTGCGGCGTTGTGGCGGCGAGGATTTTGGATGCGAGGTCGGTGGATTTGGTCTGGGTGTCCGTTGCATGTGTGTGAGAAATCATTGTAGAGATAGAGTAGAGAGATTGGGGATTAGGGCACACAAGGGTTTTGAAGATTTAAATGAGAGAGGAAGCAAATGGCGCCCTTTTATGCCCAGCTTGGAAGAGAGAGAGAGACAGAGAGAGAGAGAAGATGGTTTGTTGTGGACCGTTAGATGGACGAGGATCTGGAAGGTCGGTATCATGCGAAGGGTACGTGGAGCAACAATTACTGTGTGGGTCGGCGTAGCGGTGCATTTGCGCGACACTATAATCCCGCGTAGTTGGTTGTTTTGAGTATTATTAGAGTATCTTTCCTTGTTGCTATAATATCATTATTATTGTTATAATTTAATAATAAATAATACTATTTTATTAAATTATAGTAATGATATTTCAATAGTCACTTGTTATTTTGGTAATTTTCAATTAATTTTTCTTTCAAAATTATAGATGTTGTTTGGATATAAGTTTTTTTATGATTTTATTTTTGTTTATTTTTTGTTTTTGTGACTTTTTTTTAACTATTTGTAAAAAAAAAATTATATATATATATATATTATTCCCGACTAGACAAATATAAAAAATGAAAAAAATTAGAAAAATTAGAAAATAAATAAATAAATATAATTCAACTTGAAAAATTAAATAGAAATTAAATTTGAAAAATTACTTAGTTTTCTACTATTTCAATTCTGTTTTTTTAACTGAATTTGGAGCCACAAATATGTTCATATTTGTTGATGTGGCATGTTTGGCAATTCCCCATCAAAAAATTACTTTATTTTCTACTGTTTCAATTATGTTTTTTCAACTGAATTTGGAGCCACAAATCTGTTCATATTTGCTGATGTAACATGTTTGGCAGTTGCTATTCTACTTGCCAAATTTGAGAATAGAAATGGCATACGCCATTTTTGGCAAGTAGAATAGCAAATTATTGGAGACCCACTTTTTGTCACTATTGCCAAATTATAACTTTGCCAAGTATTTTGAAAACTCCATTGGAGATGTTCTTAGATATTCACAATTTACTTATAATAAAGTGATAAGAGAGTGAAATTTTATATTATTAAAAATTAATACATATAATATCACATTATTATGAATATAATTGTGAGACTTTTTTACAAGTCTTAAATAGTTTTTTTTTAATTTTTTTTTTATATATCCTTTTATTATCAAGAATTTTGTTATTAAATATCTTATAAAAATATTTTCATAAAAATTTTACAATTATTTTAAAATCGAAGCTTCTAGTTAAGATTGCAAAAACAGATTAAATTATTTGAATTTGAATTTGAATTTGACTTATGTTTAGATAAAATTTCCTTTGACATTGAGTTGTTAGGTAAGCAATAAATTTTTAAATTTGAACAAATTGGACTTATTATAGCCTCTTAATCTTTGTTTTCTTCCATAGCACATGAGATTGGATTACGAGCTTTAGATAAGTTATTTATGTCTATTTGTATAAAGGAAAATGTTTTGAATCTTTAATTTTGGACTCTCCAAATCAATTCCAACATGTGTCATAAGTCACATTACTTTGATATCTCATTAAAATGTAAAACTATTCAATGAGTGTTTACCATGTCATTAGAGGTCTAAAATTAGAAGATTTGATATTACTGTTTACAGAAATGACTACCGGACTAACAATTCTATGGGATCAGAAATATCCCTAGTGAAGAGACTAGCAATCCATAAGAGAATGTGGTATTCAAATTTATTCCCATAGGATTAGAGGCGAAATTTTTGTTTTATCCCTCATTGTAGATAGCTTAGAAATAGTAGAAATAATCCATGTATTTTAACTTTGATCTCTAAATAGAATATTCTATCACTCTTTGACGTTGAAATTATCAAATTTTTCTTCATTTTTAATTCAAATTCCAGCAACCATTGTGTATTTGTAATGGAAAATATCATACAATACAAGTTGACTCAACTAACATGTAATTCATATTACGGATAATTCACGAAAATAAAAAACATTATACAAATGTAACCCTTACATTTTTTTAACTTTTAAAGTGATGAAAGTGTAATTTGCTTTTTAAAATAAAATTTACAAAATAAAATCATAAAAATACATAAGATGTTATGACATTAAGAATAATTTATAAAACTTTTATTTTTATTTTTAATCAAAAGCGTTACATTTTACCAAATTCTATCAATTGAGGAAGAAAAGTTATTAATTCCTCCTCATAAGAGTAAGAGTGCAATTCGGATGGATTCGGTCATGTTGGGAGGTTGTCTAACCCTAACTCAAGTTGTACGGAGATCTGCCAGGCCTGCTCAATCTCGAATTATAACCCGAGGTTGCCTAACTAAACCCGACCTGAGTTAAATCCGAATTGTTCGAATTGTATTTTTTTTTTGTAGCTACATTATTAAATTATTAAAATTTGACTCTATTTATATTTTTTTTAAATATAGAAAATCATTAATACAATCAAAACAAATAATTTATATAATGTAAGAGAGATGCCGTTATAGTAGTCTTTACAATTTATGAGTAAAAATAAAAAGTAAGACTTTATGTTATTTGTATATATAATATATATTCAATATGATTTAATAATCTAAAATATTTTAATATTATGTAATGACTAATAGTTTGTATATATATTTAATATTTTTATATAACTATATATATATATAATTCGGATTTTGGGTTGCTTGGGTTGTTTGATGTCTTTGCCCAAGCTCGTTCAAATTTAATTCGGACTTTTGAATTTTTGTCTAAGTCCATACCGAATTTAAAAATATCTTATCCAAGCTCTAAAAAAATTCGAACTAAATTCGAATTACTCGAGTTGAGTCCGCCCAAATTGCACTCCTCCATAGAGTCATTGATCCCCCTCATAGAGTTTGATTATCTATCCTTCTCAACCCATTAGATATTATTATATACTAATTAAAACTTGACGGGCTTTGATCAAACAAAAAATGAGATCTAATCTAACATCCAATAAAAAAAATTGTAACCTCAAAATTTCAGACCAAACTCATGAAATTCACTAACTACAAAAATATGTCTGAGTTTGGTTTATTAACCTAATGAATCAATCTTAAATAATTTTAACAAGTTGAGCCCACGTAAAATTTGAATAATTTTGTTCATTTTACAACCCTTTTTTTTTAATAAAGCTTGTCAGATTATATATATTTTTGGGTCTGGACCAGATTATATATGTATATTTGGATTGGGCCTCTTGCCACCTTATGGTAGAAGGTTATTATAAGATTGGGTTGTGTCCAATTTGTGAGTTGGTTCGGCCCAAATAATGTTTTATAGCCTCTTCTTTTAAAAGATTTTATTTTTATTTTTTGGATCAAAAAAAAGAAAAAAGAAAAAAAGAGCAATGTTTCATACCATGGAATAAATAATACCGAAATATTTGCTATATATCCATCTATACATTAAATATTTGGATAAATTACATTGACACCCCTTGAGGTTTATATTTATTACAGTTCCCCCTCACCTTTTGAAAATTTCATCCATTTTCTTAAGGTTTAAAGTTTTATTACAGATTGTCCTTGAGATTTAAGGTTTCATAACAGTTCCCCCTTCACTGTAATGATCATCATACATAAAATTAAATTAACAGGGGGGTCAATGTAATTTTCCAAATGTGAGGGCATAAACTGTAATAAATATAAACTTCAGGGAGTGTCAGTGTAATTTACCCTTAATATTTTCAATTTGTTGTAAAATCATCAATCAAGAAATTTTATAAAATTCAATAAATTTCTCAAATTTATCTATAATGAATTTTTTTTGTCCATGGGCTCTCTATCACACACATTTGGGCCTTATGTTTGGGCTAGTTCTAAACTAGTTACAACATCTCTAGTCCAAGCTTTGGCCCGAGATGAAGATGAGCCCATGTGTGAAAAATCGTCTACTCTAAGTTAAGAGTTGAGATTCGGATCTCCCATTTAAAATGAAACAACATAGAAGAGAAGTCTCATCAGTTTCACTGTAGGACCCACTTCTCATGGACCAATACTATTGTGAGAATTTTATAAAGTTTTTGTTAACATATGCTTAACGCATGTTAAGAAAACATTAAGGCCATGTTTGTTTGGGCGGATTGGATTAGCATTCCCATGACTAATAGTCCTAGGGGTACAAATCCATTGGATTATGTATCCTATCTTAACTAATAGTCAAGTTTAAAATAATTAGTCCGTACTTCAATTGTTTAATCAAACATTGGATTAGTAATTTTATTGGACTATTAGTCCAATCCCAAGCTCATGTCCACCCAAACAAACATGACCTAAAGGAATATATTTATGTCGACTTCTATAGAAAATAGTATAACATAAAATGTTATCTTAATTAATTTTTTTATATTTATAATAAGAGTAAAACACCCTTTTTGCTTTGCACTTTTTTCCTCCCTGTTTTTATGTGCCGATTCACTTTTTCTTTAAATTTGATATTTTATATTATTTTAGTTTGGTGAAAAAAATATCAAAAATATAATTTTTAGAAAATTCTGCTTTATTATTTTTCATATTTTTTTTTTGTTTTTATTGAATTTTTTAAAAATATTGTATGCAATTTTTAAAATTTTTAGACACATCCAACATAAATACACTCAAAAAGTAAAATTTTTGTGAAAAAATCTTTAAGAAAATTCACTAAATACCAAAAATAAAAAAAATACGAAAATTTAGTATATTTTTCTTGTTTTTGTATATTTATTAATTTTTTAAAATATTTTTTCACAAATATTTTACTTTTTAGACACCTCTAAGTAAGATGCATCTAAAAAAGTAAAAAAATGCTTAAAATTTTAAAAATATTCACTAAAAATAAAAAAATACAAAAAAATAAAAAATCAATTTTAAAAAAACTTAATTCAAAAAATTCAAACCAAACACACTGATTATTTTCATGACTTTTTAACATAAAATAATATTTAAAAATTCACATATATATTAATATTTAATTTTGTCAAAATAATTTATATATATATATATATTTAAAAATAAACTCAAAATATAAATTTTAAAAATTAAATTACAAATATTTAAAACTTTTAAAATTATATAATGTCGAGA